TATGTATATTTTTTACGAAAAAATATATATTTAATATATTCTTAAGACATAAATTAAAAATATTTTATTAATTAATATAATATTTAAAATTTTAAAATAAATAATTAAATTTTAAAATAAGTAACAAAAAAAATAATTAGTGTGAGAATTTTTTAAACTTATACCAATATATATCGACACTAGCCTGTATAAAAAGGTTGATCGTACTCTATATAAAAACGATAATTGATTAGTTTAAGTTAGTTTAATTACCTCTTTTACTTCCTCTTCCGTGATTCTACCGTCTTCATTCTTGTTTACCCTGTTACATAATAATAAAACTATCATATTAATTTACACACATGTGCTGCTTATTAAATAATAATAATAATAATAATTTACACATTCAAAAGACGATATTATCCTTCTTCTGAGTCGGTTTGAGTGGGGGTGCAATTCTTTAAAAACAAAAAAAAAAGAAAAAGAAAAGGTGGGTTAATTAAACCGAAGCTTAATTATTATTAATTAATTAAAGTGCAGTGCGTACATGTCGAAGAAGATCTGGAGCCGAGAATCGAAACTTTGATCCGTGATTTGGGACCAGTATTCGTAAAGTTCGTCTCTGCTGATTTTGTCGACTCTCAGTCTCCTCCTCCGGCTCAATGCGTCGAACAATTCCAATGCGAACTCCTTTGAATCCTTCATTCCTTCACGAGAAAGGAACAAACCGAAATAAGAAAATCCAAGGTCGAAATTTAGAGATAAATTTAATTTCAGATAAAAATATATAATTTTTGTAATTAATTTTTTTTAATCTTAAAATGTTTATTTTCTTGTAGTCAATATCGAGAGAGGAAGAAATTAAAAAAAATATTTATGCGAACCAATGCATTGCGCGAAATCGGCGCGGTAGAGGAAGCCGTCTTTAGCGAGTCTATCGAAATTTTGTAGAACTGCGTCCCAGGCGTTGGCTTTGTTATTGCTTATGAATCTGAGTCCCCGGAGTGCCTTTTGTGCGCCGGGACGATTCCGGTCTAGTTGAGTTCTCTGCTTCCTGAGAGCGCGAGCCGCCAAAGCCGAGTCGAACCCGCCGCCTCCGTACGGAGGAGTCATGGAAGCGGAAAGCGCACGCACCGCTTGTCCGTGGCCCCAAGAGAACCTCCGGATTAGCTCAGCTTTCAATTCCTGGGAAAACTGCCTCGCTTTAGCCACCGCTTCGGCTGTTAACTCCTGCGAAAACTGCCTCAATCTACGCGGCGAGCTCAACTTCATCATCGGCGATCTCGTAACCGAGGCAGGCGCGGAAGCCGAAGCAGTATCAACTGGTCCATCATCAACTTTTATAATAGTAGCCGGCTCCACACTTCTCAGCACGATCGTGTCATCGTCTTGGAGATCTAAAGTAACCTCCAAAAACTCCTCGGCGGATTCGTAGTCCGTTGCGGGTGACGTTCCAGCACTGACGGTGGTTTTGGCGGGAACAGTGTCGGAGGACCATCGGCGTCCGTGGCTAGGTAACGAACCCCTCATTTCGAAAGAAATTATGAATCCTTTCTCTTACCGTTGCTGCTGCTGCTGCTGCAGCTGCTGGTGCTAGTGGAAGAGTGGGGAGTTAGGCGAAGCGTTTAGTCATGGAAGAAATACGAATCCGGAGTGCGACATTTGGGGGGAGGTAAAAGTAGAGGCACGCGGTGGGCGGGTCTAGCGGAAAAGGACAAATGCCGGGACCAGAGGGAAAAGGTGGAGAGAGAAATTGTTAGGGGAGAGGAAAATTTGATCTGCGATTCCTGTGCTCTTATCTCTTGATTTGTGAATCACGCGTTTATGCTGAGGGTGGAAGCTGAAGCCTGAAATCATAACACAGTCGGTGCGGATATAGAGATAATTCTTTTATATTATATTTTTATATAATTTTTATATAATATTAAATAAATATATATTTAATATTATAAATTTTAAA